AACTGGGCAAGGCCTCCCCTGACTCTAAGCCCTCAAGGAAACCCTCCCATCATTAGCTTTCTGTTGAATCTTCCAGTCAGAAAACTTTGGCGCCAACGTGCGCGCTATGTTTTCAGTCGGCCACAAGAATCATGTTAATATGAAGAAAAAGGATGGTTCAAGTGCAGGATAAAGAGTTTCGCGATTGGGATCAGGATGGGTCGCTATCGCTGCTACAACCATGGCTCCCTTTCCTGCTGATATCACGAAGCCTTTCAGAGGTTCAAGTCAGAAGGGAATCGAAGGCAGGGTGTCGAGGGTGGGAGTTAGGCCTTGAGAGATCGGAGACTTCCGTCCCTTGCAGCACCGTGATCATTCACGATTTGTTTTTCATTTGTAAGATCCTGATCAGAATCAATCATTCTCAAACCTGGGGACGGCGTCAGGAAACCAACGGCAAAAGCCCCAGAAGCCCCAAACGGTCCTGAATCCCAAACCTTAGCCCTGACCCGAAACCTGCGAATAAATTGCAAACTTCGAGCTTAGGCCCAAGCTCGTGGCGTCAGTCGACGACTCTGCCGATGCCCGAGCATTGCCTGAAAGCTGCCTCAGAACAGTAAAGGAGCAGTTAGCACAAAAGGAGGGTTCAGTAAGTTAGGGAGTTACAATCCGGGTTCTACTCTTCCACGGAAGCGATGTCATTCCACATCTGTAGATGGACCTCACCAGTAACCATGCATTCAACATCGTCTGGCATCTTCAATCCTCACCATTTCGACCTCAACGTAGATCACAAGCCTCAAACTTGCCGACTGTAAAAGTGCAGAAGCCAGGCCTGAAGCTAGGCTTTGTGAAGCACCTTTGTTCGCAAGGCTTGGCCGTTCAGTCCGGGACAGGTCTTTTTTGTCCTCTGACGGCGTCAGACCTGCTGACCAGGCTCAAAGAGCGGTTTCTGCATCGTCGGACCAGGCGCTGCCAGAGTTGTCCACAACTTATATTATGTGGAGCTTGGCTTCCTGTCTATTTCAGAGCTTCAGTTGTCAAGGTCGTGTTGCGTTGGCACGAAATGTGCTTTCCAGATGTGGATGAACGGACTAAGCTTGCTGACTGAAGACCAAAGCCAGGTTCATGATGCAAACAAAGGGCTTGACGCTTAGGAGCATAGCTGGAGCTGCAAAGGACGATACTCGGCTTGGCGTCTTAGGGACGTGCTGGAGACCTGTAGGGCACTCATCAAGTATCAGCAGTTCCCTGTGAGAAACAACTGTGCACAGGGCACCGCCTCCCCAGATCAGGCTGGCAGCTCTTGGGTCGTGAGGTTTCGGATGCTCGAGGATGTCAGGTCTTCCTGGCTTCCGGATTTGGATGCTTGGGGTTCAGGTTTTGAGCTACAGGCCTTTGCATATTTCTGTTTGAGAGGTTTCTTCGGGGGCTCCAGAGACTCTAGAGGGCATGATGTTGTTTAGGTTCGGGTTTAGCCAGGGCTTGGGCATTGGTACGCTGCTGAGCTTTAAGCATGATTTTCAGGCATCGTTTTCCGCTGGACTGTGAAAGGGCCATGGCAGCTTAGCAGCCACATTCATGCAGTCGTGCAGCTTCGCAAGACCAAAGCTTTCCAGGCTGAGTTTCGGCTTTCTAACTGTTTCTCGTTCTAGAATCTTGGGGCTCGAGCCCCCTGAAAACTGAGACTGGTGGTTTGTCGGAGCTTTGTTCGAGCTTTGTTCTTGGCGTTGGGAGGTTCAAAAGCTGCTTTCGGTGTTCGTCTGGAGTGGTTTACAGTTTTTCTCGCGGAGGGTGATGGGGAGTTCCAAAAGCGACGGGGGATCGTCTGCCGACAGAGGCCGAGGGCGGCGACCAGGAGGCTGATGCAGGCGGAGGCGGCCAGGGCTCTTCCAGATTCCTAGGTGCACCGAAGCTTGGTGATTGGCCACGTTGTCTGCAGGTCGGTCACGGCCATCGAGCGACCAAGTCGCCGGTGCCCAGGCGGGAAAGAAGGAGGTTGCTGCAGTCTTGGCATGGTAGGCGTGTGGATTGTGCGGAGAGAAGCCTGTCACAGTGCTGCTTCGCATGTGTATGAACCGCTTACTTACGGTCGCATCAGCTTGCCCTAGTCATTACTTCGGCGGTTGCCATAGCATGTTCTTTTTGCACCAGAAGCTTCGGTGCCAGTGTTCGAAATTTGGAGGCTGATGTTGCACACTTTATGAGGTCACAGAAGCCTCACATCCTCTTTCAGCACCATGCAACGCGAGTGGACTTTTCAAATCCCCTTGAATGACCGCTGCGGTGCTTAATTCGGGTTCTGGCCCTGACGGCATCATACGGAGTTTACAAGTTCAGAGCCGAACGCAACGACAGTAGCAGTAGAACAACCAATAAGTAATACAACCACCGTTGTTGACATCGTCGCTACTGTGATTCGTGCTCTGGGTAAGAGTATGTCATGTATGATTCGATCATGTTCCGTACACCGGACAGTACCAGTAGTAGGACCCCTCAGCCCAGCCGAAGCCCAAAGCGATCGGAGCCAACCCTCACATGAAGGCAACACAACTTCTCACGGCATCCGAGAAGCAGACCCATCCCGTGAACACATTCCAAGGACACGTCGACTTCGACACCCCGAGCCCCCAAGTCTTTCAGCTTTGATGTAAATCTAAGTTGGACGTGGAGCTTGAACTCGTAGGATTTGGGCTTCTCGGATGCCGTTCGCAAATGCAGAAGCCTTTCAAAGCGACTTTGCCTCAGATCCGCGAGCTGCCCGCTGCCTCGCCCAGCCGACTTCTTGGGAGCTCTCCTGTCGGATAGCTCGAGAGCTCGTTGCGTGGGTTGAAGTTTATAAGGCTTTAAAAGGCTCGTAGGGCTCGGGCTTGTAGCGCTTCAGGCTTCAGATCGCAGGGACCAGGCTTACGGGGTCCTTGGCTTTGCTCGAGGGTTGCAGGCTTCTGGAGCACGCCTGCCGTGTAGAATACTGAGTAAACCAGTCAAACAGGTCGGGACTTGAGCTGGAAGTGAGTTGCAAAGGCAGACCTTCACAGGCGCCTTCTCAAGACGAGTCAGAGGCTGGGCGGCTGGGCTTCTCAAACTTGGGTATTGGTTTGCAGCTTACGGCTTCTGGCTATGAGCGTGGAGCTTTGGCTTGATGGCTTCGAAATTTAGATCGGGCAGGCAACAAGACCATATATGAGCCCGGGATTCGAGGAACGCCTGAAGCGCGAGCCAACAATGTTTGGGCATTGAGATGTGTCGCGAGGTTGAGATGCTTGGTGCGGGGTCTCATCAGGTACAGGGATCCGCTGAAAGCCTTCAGCCGCACTGCAGGCGGCTGAGACACTGCTGCGGAATCAGAGCGGCCTCTCGCGGGCCACAGCCGCGAACATTGCATCCGAGGTCAGGAGCCGCAGATTGAGGGTGGGTGGGGGGGGGGGGGGCGGTTTTGTACGCTTGTTCTCCGTGGTTCGTCCCAAAGTTGGAACCGCCACGGCCGCCCGTGTCCCAGGTGATGTTCCCCACCCACGTGGGACGCCTTGCGATCTTTGATGATTATCTCTTTTGTGGAGATGTGGGCTCCGGCTCCTTTGGCAAGGCGTGGAGTTCAGGGAACCATCTCTTACACGTCCGACCTCCCGTACTTGGGTGATTGCCAGGGGGTGGTTTGTACGGAATGTTCGGCATTTACTGTGGAGCCGCGCCCGCCTGGCAGTTTGTGCTTTGGGTTTTGCAGCCGGAGAGCTCGGGATGAGGGGGAGCTCAGTCCCGGGTGTGATCTGCCCTCAGGTCATGCTGGTTCGGCATAAGCGCTGCGCTCAGCCGGTGGATCTGGAGGGCTCAGCATTCTGGATGGAGTGGTTGGGCGTTTCCACAACGAAAGCTAGTGCATGCTAGCCTTGAGTGGAAAGACCATGTTCCTGATCCTCAACCTCTTGCATCCCATTTCACTCCTACACTATCAGCTCAAAATCAACCTGCCCACACTAGAATGACAAAGCAGCACTCTCGCCTCCCGAAACCCGAAGCCCAGCACTATCCTGCCCAAGCCGTGTAAATTATTGCAGGAAGTTATCGCTGTACAGCTTCGGGTTTTTGTCCTCGCTAGCTCGCCTCACCAAGCGCTTCCGCGGCTCACATGTGTTGCGTCCTTCACACGGTGTCTGGCCTACATCGGATTATGAGGTTCAGATCCACATACGCGCATTCTACACATTGGTTCGAAATTTTACGCTCGGAAGGCTGGTCGACGCCGAGCTTAAATCTGCTTTCATGCTGTACCCTGAAGCTTAAACTTGCCGCAACACGCCGGGATCTTACTCTGCCGGTTCCGTAGCTCTCTCGTCGAAACACCCCGAGCATCAAAGCTGGCCCTTCAACCCTCAACACGTAACTGTCCTCCCAACCCACTCGCCGCTCGGCAGGAGCACGAAGCAGCTACGGGCCTGCAAGGCTCGGCACAAAAGCACAATGGCTGCTTGCAACAACTTCATCACAGCGAACCATACATTGTACGATTAAGAAAAAGAAATCCAACTCGCTGGCTGTGGCGAGGGCGACCCACATCCATGCATATGCAGATGTGCGGATGTTGCATCAAGCATACAACAGACACGTGTTTAGGTGTACACACACTAGCTATATCTGTATGTATACATTACACTACACTACACTACACTACATTATTACATTACATTATAAAACTACATTGCATTACATTGCAGTTCATTGCAGTTCATTGCATTACATGGCATTACATTGCATTACATTGCATTACATTGCATTACATTGCATTACATTGCATTACATTGCATTGCATTACGTTGCATTACGTTGCATTACGTTGCATTACATGCATAAATACGCACATACGCGCATGCACACATACGTACCTACGTACAGACATACATGCATATATGCATACATGCATACATGTATACATACATACATACATACATACATACGTACGTACATCCATACATACATACATGGCATGTCCGCATTCCCACCGGCTACATTATCAGTATCAGTAGACGACTGCGAGTCATGTCCACAGAAGGGACTGCCTTGGGGCCTGCAAGCAGGACAGTCAGCTCTCCAGCCACGATTGTACATGTGCACGCGCTGAAACATCAGGGGAGTCGCAACCCCAAGCCCGAAGCCTGAATATCGAACAACAGTGCAAAACTTTGGGGCTTCTGTGATTTGGGCTCTGGATGTCCTGAGTTTTCTGGCAGGTGGTAGCCGTGCAAACTGCTCTGCAGCGGGAGCTCATGGATAACGAGATTCGATTACTCAAGCGGCTCGAAAGCAAGAAGATAATTTCTTAGGTTCCGAAGCTCAGAGCTCTGTGCACTGCTGAAACCGCCGGAAGCCTGAATTCGACGCCCAAAACTCAACACACAAGCGAGTTGCCTTCCAGAGTCTCCGTTGTGGCCTCCGGACTTAAGTCTTGGTTTCAGAAGCTCGGCCAGGGAACTCTATAACTCCGAAGGCGACAAAACCAAGAACGTCGGGCTCAAAGCTGAAACTCGTAAGTGAAGCCTATACCTGGCTCCGCCCCGGCCGTTCCCGAGTATCCCTTGTACCGTAGATTGAAATCCAAACACGCGCTGATTCTCTCTTACCAATGACCAAAGAGGAATAGCACCTCTCGACTAAGCTTTGCAAGCTTGGATATGCAACCGCAGAAAGCAGCAACATTGCTCTTTAACCTGTCTAGCTGTAGTTTCATCAGTGCGATTCACAGCTTTGGTATCGATCCCTAGGCTTTCGAAGGCCCCAGGTCATGTAAAGCTAACGCTATGTGCCCAGTCCGATTTAGGAACTTCTGGGGCCGTGAGGTTCCTGTCCCTTTCCTCCGAGGCGCGAGGCACCGATTCTCGCTCGCTGAGGTCGTTGAACCACCCTCACATCATGAAGATGCACGAAGTCTACTTCGAGCAGGTTGGACTTGCCTGGGTTTCAAGCGATATGGAAGAATGCCCAAGCACTGATCACGTTCAGTTGCAAGACACTCGTGGAATTTGAAGCCCATTCCTAATTGTAACAAATCGACAGAGTGGGTGGGCCACAGAGGGCTAAGGCTGGAGGAGGGCCTGGCAAAAACCTAAGTGCACTGAAGGCCTGCAACTCTAAATGCATCCATGCACATGGAGGCTTCGGAAAGCGGCCAAGTCGCTAGTGGCCTGTGGCTCAGCTGGAGCTGCACGGCAGTCCACTAGGGATCTTCGGATCCCCGATCTGGATAAATTCTGGCCGTCAGATGTACCGCGGGCGCGTCCAGCCATTTTCCAGGTCCTGATGCAGAGCTATATGTGTCATATATATATATATATATATATTTATATATATATATATATGTATACACATGTGGCCGACGCCTTCTGGAGTCGGTAGTCTCGAGAGCTCCATAATTCTGGAGCCGCTGTGCTAGGCGCTTGCAGTTTGGGAAGCTGTTGAGGCAACATCTACTTGGTGACGGAGCTCTGCGAGGGAGGAGATCTTTTCTCGCGGATTCTTCATCACTACGAGAGGACCGCCTGTTCTTCCCTTCTTGAGAGTTTAAGGGCTAGAATTTCAATCGCGAAGCATGAAGCAGCCTAGCAGGGCAGCTCTTGCTTCTACGGTGGTACGTCGAAAGTCCTGCACCTCCCAACAGAACAGCAACTACCAGTTCTAACGATGCTAAAGATGGGTGCTTCGGAGCGATTGATCCTGTTTGGTAGGGAAGTGCTGGGTTTGGGTCCCCTCATCTCCGAGTACGCCTTGTATCGTGGTCCGACCTCTCGGATATGATATGCTGTCGACTCGAAGCCTGGCGTGGGCCCGAAACTTAAACCAGAAGCTCTGCCGTCCCTGCGATTCAGCCCGCATACCATGGTCTGAGTTCTTTCGACCTCCCACCTGGTCCGTCTTTACATGAAAGAGGTTGAAGCAGCCCATGACGGAGAGCCATGTGGCATTCATGATGCCTGGAACTTAGTGACTGGAGCTTTGGGTGTGGATTCATAAATCGGATATCGCATTGGGGTGCAGAGGGGTAAATTGCGAGCTTGAAGCAGAGCCTTTGAATCATTTCGCGGTTTGGGCTCACCCTTAGGTGGATACATGATACCTGGATGAGACATCGGATATCCTCTGGCCGAAAGGCTTCACTTCAAGCAAACTATCTTAGTGTGACTTGGTGCTCTTGGACCATGCCGAGGCAGCAGATCCTGTCAGCGACGAAATATTGTCACGACAAGGGGATCATCCATCGCGACATCAAGTCAGCGACACAGTGGCCCAGAGTCTTAAGCTCAATGTTCAAACTCCTGGTGTTCGGGGCTTGTGGTTCTCCAATGAACTGCTTCCAGTGTGCGGCTGAAGAGGGTCATGCTCTCCCACCTTGCTTGCGTTATTCACACGACGTGTTCATGCAAAAGCTCTTACGACCTGAGGCCGGAGAACATCCTTTTCGTTGATCGCAGCGCCAGCTCTCCGCTCAAGATGCCTTGCTGGCATGGGCTTCAAGAGATCCAGTCAGCCGCACTTCGGCTTGGAGTTTTCAGGGCTGTTAGTGGAGGTGAGGGCGGACCAGGGGAGCCCGGTACCTCCGTGGCTCTCATGCGAAAGATGCGCTCAGAAAGAGCAATAAAGGTCCGCAGAACGTCAGAAGCACGGAGGACTCAATGTGAACTGGAGAAAGTCAAATAAGAAAGCCGCACTGACCGGGGAGAAGTCAATGAACCTTCAGGCAGGGCACAGGTAGTTTGATGTACTCGTAGATTTGTTGCCTTCGGAGCATGCACACCTGACAGAGATGTTCTTCTTGCGTGCCGAGATTGCAATCTGTTTAGAAGGCTGTTTTTGTCGAGTGCTCATGGCGAACGGATACCCCATCGGACCTAATCATGCTCGAACTGCTCGTTCGATGACAGAATCGACTTCGGCCTCGCGAACTTCCACGAGAAGATACGGGAGCAGGCAACGAAAACTTGCGGGGCTCACGTCATCGTGCTCTGGTTCAGGCTGGTCGTCTTGTGCAAAGTAAATCCCAAGCTGAGCCGTTGGCTTGAACTACCAGCAAAACCGATGTCACCTACCGAGCTCCTCGCCTAGTGTATACTCTTTGCCACTGTGAGAGAGTCTTGTCGAAGAGGCGAAGGAGGTGAAGGTCGCCCGGTCGGGAACGATGGGGCGATTGGCGCGCATGCTGTGCGAGCCCAAGATTGGGCTCAGGCCGGTAGCTTCCTTATGCTTTGGGATAGGGGTAAGCTTTAGCTTGCCTTGAGGCCGAGTGCTTGAACCTCATACAAGAAGCGGAAAGCCAGGAACATGAGCATTCCAGTTCGTGCTTTTCCCTGCAAGAATAATTACCGGCTTTGTGACCGCAGACCTGTCAAAACCTGCAGGCTCATAAAGCCAAAACCCAGAACCCTCTTGGCCAAACCATGGGAGCCAGCCGAGGCCATCCGTGAACGGCCGACATTTGATTCCTTGGCATGAACGGAAGCGCGTCCGACCCCGAAAACCGGTTGTGAGGGCATTGGTTTGAGGCTTCAGCTGGAGGCTCGCATGGAGGCTCGCTATCCGCCTAGCATTCGTTCTGGCGTTCCCTCCACGTCCCGAGCGACTGGAGGACATTCGTAGGCCTGGGAACAGCGCATGGAGTTGTGTCGTCATACCTTCACGGCCCCGGAGAGCTTGTTCAGTCACACTATCCTGCTATATTTGTCTGCGAAGCGTTCCTGAAGATGAACGTGCAGCTTATCTTCGGCCGCAGCAGGCCTAAACAGACCCGATGCTGGCCCAGGTCATGCAGAAGGCCGGTACGCCGCACTACATGGCGCCGGAGATGATCGAGGGGTCGCCACCTTAGATTGCTATGAGAAGTCCTGTTCCACGAGCTCGACTTCGAGTCGTCAGAGGCATGTTGTTTTGGTTCCCAAAGATATCAGACGGATCGCTGCAGGTTCCAGGATCTAGGATTCGCGATCTGGGTTGCAGCCAAACCATGCCACGGGGTCGCTGCAACTCCGAGCATCTGAGGATCCATAGAGCGCAACAGGTGACAGAAGATGTGTCTCAAAGCATGGAGTTCCCGTCACCAAGAGAAGCCTGACTGCGGAAGCCGTCTGCAGTTCCACGCAAGTCCACGATTCGCTGAAACTTTACACCAAAGATGGACACATCTGCGGAAAGCCAATAGTTTTGGATCACGGGCAGCCCACGCTTTCCCTCATGGTCCAAAGCTCTCGCTCTTTCTGATCTCCTGTGACATGGCAACAAGTCATGGAACAACTTTGACGGGCCACGAGCTTTTATTGAAGTCCAGGTGGGAGATCAGGCACTTGATCACAATCGCCCTGTCGTTTCTAAATCTGCGAAACTCAAAGTCTCGACGGCCTTTGGCACAACACGCTGAGGCGCTGAACGAAAAGCCAAAAACGCCCTGCACTCCGAACGCCCCCTTGCCTTCACGCTCTGCACACTGAGAGACCCTGAGCCATTTAAGCTGTTGCTTCCTGACAAGCCTCCATGCTACAGTAGGGCCCTCAGTCGGAAGCATAGTCGAGCCAAAGGTCTTACGACCACAAGGCCGACCTTTTTAGCGCGGCGCCCAGTTCTCCTGTTCTCACGAGGGTTTTTGACTGGTCTTATGGGTTTTCGATGGTTTCCGTTAAAATGAAAGTTGCAAGTTGTGGGTAGCTGGGTTGGGAGCTATGGCACCAGGGTAGAAATGAGGATACTCGAGATCCGGTGCTCAAGTCGATTACATTGGCAGATTCCTGAGTTTGGCATCAGCTCGTGGTTCGTTCAAGACCAGGAAACTATCGAAAGAACGAACCGAGCCAGAGGCGAACGAATCGAGGAACGTTTCGGCCGAGGAGCAACAGCCCTGCTGAAGAGGAAACCGACGAACTCGCAAATGCCATGGCGAGAGCTGAGTCCAAAGAGCCCATGCTTTCCGAGAGATGACAGCCAGCTGTAACTTTAATGCCGGGGAGGAAGTGGTGCAAATTTAGGCTGCTTCCCAGAATTCAGGCTTCCCAAGGGGCACTGACGGAGTTTACGGCTTGGCAGCACTGGTGTCTTGAGCACTGACCTACGAAAGACGATCTCGAAGGCAGCAGTAGTTGCACCCAGTTTCAATGGTGCGACTCCGAGCGTGACAGAGCTGCCAAAGATCCTGACACTTGAAAGCTTTTGGCACTGTAAGAATAAAGCCAGCCCACAAAACACAGTCCGTCTGGGCCTGGAGCATTTGAGAAGCTGCAGTCAGAGCTGCAGTGTAAGGCCTGCATTGTAGAGCCTGTGGTAACTGACTCAGACGCAGAATGCCTCATTCAACTTCCAAACCACAGGTATTGGAATCATTCTCTGTCAGCTTTTCACCGGCTCGACCCTCAGCCGAGAGCGGGTCATACCGAGATTGAAGGCCCATCGTGAATTCAGGAATTGGTTTGCAGATAGCAGGGTCTGTGTAGCTCCTGTTGTCCGGGGTCCATGAATCCCATCCCATGCCTGGCCTCCATCCGTTCCATCTGAGGTTGGCATCCTTTTTACACGCCAGGCGATGATGAAACGCAGCATCCCCGGCTGGAGTCACGCTAAGTCGAAGCTGGTGAGACCGCTTCGGAATGACCTCGCTATCTGGCAACAGCAAGAAGGTTCCTGGTCCCTCATTGCAGTAAGTCGTGAAGTGGTGCAATTCTTGTCGCAACCATCTCTGCTGCCTTGAGAGCTCGTGCCGAGGGCCATGCCTCAGAGATGGCACTTTCCGACCTGAGTGCCTCGTAAACCTGAAGTTGGGGAGCGTTCAGGGTAGAAGGCCTTTGTCGGCCCTCCTCACTACGAAGGGGCCCGAAAGCCTCCTCAGCTCAGGGCCGTTCGCGCCAAGATCTCCAACCCGGATCCGGTCCAGTTCCGGCCTCGGCTCAGAAGATTTCGAGTATCAGGTTCACGAGTTCACAAGCTGCACCTGGCTTGGAGATTGAGATCCCCAAAGCATCCACTACACTGCAGCAGTAAGATCTAAGGCCTCCGCCCCGCAATGATTCAAAGCTCGAGCGCGTTGTACAGCTTTGAAGTGCCGGAATCCTAGTCGCGACTCCATCTTCTGTTCTTCGGCCGAGGTTTCCGACTGAGATCTGGGCACAAGTCTCCCATGCAGCTTGTGACCTGTGCAGCCTGGCTGCAGATTCGCGGGTTTCGGGATGCTGCCGATTGCACGACTTTCTTGCACGGCACACACTGTGTTGGGTGTAGCTATTCTGTTTCAACTCACCCACTGACTGGGACCCGGTTCATCTTCTACTACAACTACGTTCTCCTGTCGACCAACATTGCTGATGCTACTGCTACTACCGAACTGCATGACCACTGTTTAGGTGCGCAGCTGACCGAGGCTGCTTCTGTTGTTTGTTATTCTGGGGGTCGGCTGATTGCACTGCCGGCCAAACCAAAGAAGCTTCATTTTCCAGGAGCTTTTCGCCCTCTGTTCTCAGGCAGGAAGTTGCTGGAGAAGCAGAGTAGCAAGAGGCTTTCGGCAGCACAGGCCTTGGCCCACGAATGGCACTGCCGACCTGCGTTAACTATGCTTGTCAGGCATTCCAAGTCTTATACTTATAGTCTTGTTGTCGCAGAGACAGAAGGTATCAGGTCGAGTCCGAGCGACGTTCATTACAGTGGGGCAGCTCGGAGCTAAAGGGCGGCTCTGTCAAGGATCGCTGCCGTGATGTCCCTAAACGTTTCGAGGCTCAGAGCGAGCTAGAGGTGTTTTGGAGAGGGCTTGGAACAACACTTGCAGAATCTCTGCGACACGCTGTATAAAAAGTTTTCATGCGGAAATTCACGGCTGCCATGAGAAATGCAACCTAGAGCTTCCATGCCACCGCACATGGTATTCGCTTGCATGTGCGACTCTTCAAGCATCAGTTTACATCTTACACAGGTCTCCGGTGCTCGGAGGATATCGAGGTCGCAAGAGAGGACTTAAGCAGCAGTCTTTTACCGGCAAAATTGTCGACGCATGTTCATAGTCGAGGTGCGCGTACGAGTCACAGTGTCGTACTCGGAGCTGAAAGTATGGCCTTGCCTTCGACCTTTGTGGTCAGTTCTCCGCAATCCCTGGAAATGCGCACCATGCCTTATGCCTTTGGCAAGCCTAAAGCTGCAAACTCAGACAAGCTATGGCCCTAAGCCCAAGTCCGTCGACCCTGGATCCCAATGTGCTGCTCGTACCGTGGCTCGACACAGCAGGTTTCGGGATCCATCGAAGCCCTCGCCCTTTGGAAATGTGGAGGGCCTGAGTGTCAGAGGCTCATCGACCTTTGAATGAATCCAGAAGCTCGGCCGTGCATCCTGATGTGAGAGCCTCCCAGGATGTAAGGAGTTCGGGAGGGTTGCTGTTGATTCGCCGGTAGAAGCTTCAGAGTCCAGGGTTCAAGCCTACCCAAAAACAAGCTGCCGCAGATTTGGATTGTGGTTCCTGCTACAACTGGGCCCACATTGCAAATCTCTTCAATGAGATCGGCGAGTGTTTTTGTTAACGTGTGCGCGGGGGCCTAGAGGAGTTTAATCCGAGCGGCATAAGGTCGTCGGTGGCTCAGGACACGCAGTCCCATACGAGGTTTGTGTGGTCTTAAGCAAGCCCCGTAAACGAGTTTGGGTTTTTTCAAGCAGCTGCCACTTTGCTAGCAAACGACGAGCAGCCACTAGCACACAACACCCTATCGACCATCACGTCGATCCATCCGATGAGCTTCGCTTTGACAAGGTTTCAATCTTCGACGGCCTGAAGCAGTACCAGGCATCCGAAACCTGCACGGAGCTTGCATCACCAGAGTTGATGCCTTGGAGCCATTGTGACGAGACCCATCGAAAAGAACCATGCAAGATTGATCAAGCAACGGGAAAGAATTTCGTTAAGCTCTGAACTCTTTTTGCACAGCTGATGCATCTGTGGGACTTTCTGACTCCCCGGTGTTAGTACCCGACAGTTTTTAAGGGGATGACTGACCCTAGATGCGTATGAGCATGTTTTCCAGTCTAGCCCTCGAACACCCTAGCCTGAAAGTTTGAGTGGAATCCTTTTCGAACAGCCGCGATCGAAGGCTTACAACAAGCTGAAGCGGGCCGTTCTCCAGCTGCTAACTCGAGAGCTGAGTGAGTTCCAGATCCAGGTGGGGCAGTGGATGATAGGGGACCTCGTGGCCTGAACCCCAAGATCTCTTGGTGCGTTTCAAGCCCGCACATGTCAGGAGCTAAGGGCTAAGTTCATGGCCCTGGACACCCATGGAGATGGGCTCCTCTCTCCCGAGGACTTGCGGGGATGCCCCCAACACCCAAGCGTCCTCGAACCACGACCTCGTGTCTAAGCGTTAAGCCTCAACAACGCACAACCAGGAGTTAGTCGAAGGAATGCGGCATGTCGGTGGGAGCCTCAGCAGTCGGATTTTGTTGCTGAGGGGAGTGAGAGGGGCGTCCTGAGCAAGCACTCTGCAGGAAACCTAGTCCCCACCTACTGACCAAACCTGTAACGGCCTTTCGAACCGGTTCCAAGACTCCTGGTACCCACGGCGCTTAGGCCCATGCTGTAGGCTTGACCCCTCAGCGAGCGCAGGTTACGAGATGAGCGAAAAGGAGCTGGAGCAGGTGATGGCTGCTCTGGACGGCAGCGGCAGCCAGCGCATCGGCTACAAGGCGCACAGGCTTTTGAGCGTGGTTTCAAAGCCGGCTTGTGGTTGAACCTCGTGCAGTCTGCAGTCTGCAGCTTCCCATACGTAAATGGGCATTTGATGAGGCCAAAACTCTGAGTCAAGGAATGGAGCTTAACCTGGGACCAGATACATCGCTTGGGTGAACATTGATAATGGAATAATGGAACAGCCCGTGAGCCCAGTTCCCGACCGAGTGTCTCCAGGCACAGGTCATGAAGCGCAAAGCTCAAAGAAGGGTTGCAGGTTTTGCAGGGATGTTGCCCAGCCTGCACGGCAGACCCGATAGTTCTCCATAACGCGGTATCCGCTGCCTCTGGGCGGGGTTTACCACCAGCCGCGCCCCCCGCCGCCCCTTCGCAACACAAGGGTCAGCTCTTCGTGGATTTCCGAGCTCATTTGGCACTCACCTCGCAAAGCTTTGCCACAGCCGTAGAAGAACATGAGAGGAGTTCATCTCTGCGCTGATCGAGCGACGGGTGAAGTTCGACCGGCAACAGCTTTTCGAGTGCTTCAAGAAGTTCGACAAGCCGGGATCTTGGATTGTTTAGACGTCACAAGTGCTACACATGCGGCAGCTTTTTTTGTGGTAGTCTGGTAGTCTTGGTCCCTGAAGCAGAACTCGTTCTTTATCTCAGCCTTTGTGATGCACATGTACCTGCCCGGTCAAATCGGATTCCAGTCGCAAGAAGCACTGAGCAAGCGAGACTGGGCGAGGCCGTGAATAAAACACTGGCCACATGCGTCGTCATGGCACCCTCCATTGCCGGAGTTTGCAGCTTGTGTGTTAGTGGTTGCAAGCCCTGCTGAAGCCTTGGACCCAAGATTCCTTAAGCCAACCATCTCTGAGGCAAGGCATCGGACGAATCACGTACCAGGCACCCGTGTTTCGGATGTGTCTGAGCCTCTCACCCTCAACTGCCAAAAATTGCAAACCTGAACGTCTACGTGTGAAACCTAGCTTTCGGCCTTGGATTCTGTGTCGAGACTTGGGAGTTCGTAGTTCCATGGCTTGAGAGGTTAGAGGGACTTGGCCTTCTGAAACTCACCACGAAAGACTACGTTACAAGCAATCTTCAAACGGTGATGTGCATAAGACCAAACACCTCATCTCGAGAATCACACCAGCATCAGCATCATCAGTGTGCCCGCAATCACCGCCAATTAGCCTCGTCGTCATCATCCTCGGAATCATCGTTTATGTTATTATCGTCGTTGTCTACTGGCTACTATCACCTGTAGCGTATGATTTTCAGCATGCAATGTTGAATGAGTTATCTTGTTATTTTCTTGCCACTGCCATGACTATTCCATCCGCATTGTCCTCGTCAGTGGTGCTTTTACCTTCAATATGACTGATCTCGCTCTCGTCATGCTCTGTCTCCGCCGCAGCAGCATCACGACGACTTCTTGTTTTTGATCTTCTGGTCCTTGCGGCTGCCAACTGTTGATCATGTTGTGTTGCTGCTGTGGTCGTGGTCTGCCCCGTACTCGTCGTCGCTTTCGGCTCTGGGGCTTCGTGTCTCCGAAAGCCTCGGTCCAGCCAGGAGCCCGTAAACCTGCTTGCCCACATTGCAGATAGTGGGAGCCTGGGAGCCTGCCGGCCCCTACGTTGAATCACAGAAGCGAGGCACACGAGAGGAAGTGTGGAGCACCACAGAGCCTGCAACAGGATGTCAAGAGCGTGATGTGCAACGCCATCACCGAGTCGGAGTGGCAGGTTCTGGGTTTTTTTCTTGCATGTCCTCAGTCTAAGCTTTGAGGGTTCCAGGGTGTGGGGTGGAGATTCGAGCAGTGGCTGGAGAGGACGGGGTTCGGTTCGGTGTCGAGAAGCTCCCCAAAGCCTTATGTCCTTGAGTCCTGCAGTCTCAAAGTGCTAGACCACAAGCCTTCCTGAGCCCTTGAACCTGGCTTCCGTTCCATTGGCTTCTGGACTGTAGACCCCGGACAGAAGGGTAGTCCACACGTGCACGATTAGAGACTGAGGCTCGTTCGGAGCCACCTGCTGCACTGAAAGTATCTGAAAGTAATCCGCAGAAGGGCACCGAATGTCTGAAGGAAGGAGCCGTGGAATGCGAAAGGGGGCCTTGGGAGTTCCTGGCATTCCCAAGAGCAGGAGATCGCTGTGGTAGGAGGCCAGCAAGACGCGCCCGGACCCCGGCCCTGGCTTTGTGCTCAGACCGTCTGGCGCCTTGCCTTGAGGCCTCGCCTTGCAAATCTGTTCCAACGAGTCCAACTCGGCGTTTGCTTGCAGCTTGCTAGCTTCTCGCTCCCTCCCTCGCTCACTCTCTCTTTCCTTCCCCGTCCCCCACCTTCCAACTACGCCCAACACCCTACATGCCAAATGAAGAACACACTGCTGTGTGCAATGCTTTAAAGGTGTTTGGGGGCGAGTCTATCCCGGTGTGAGTATGGCACATGGGCTTGGGCTTGCGACTGGAGTCTATTGAGTGCGTTTCGTCCTATCGGGGTCGGGTGACAAAGCATTGCGGCTCAGAGGTCTGACGGGACCGACCCGCAGAGCCAGCCCAGGAGCGAGATGCCAGAGCTGACCTTCGATGAGTTTGTTGTCCTGATGGAGCAGACTGACTAGTGATCGGGCGTGAGAAGCCAGGTTTGGACACTTGGGAGGCTTATGGATGAGCACAGCTTGTGGTAGGTTCCTGATTTGAGAGCCTTACCCAGATCACCACAAACCAGGGGGTGTTCTGGGTGTTAAGGTTAAGCTAGTTGCTGCGAATCATAGTAACCCGAAAGTGCTTACAGGTGAAAATGGGGTCCTCAGCAAGCAATCGAAGAGCCGCTACATATCAGTCGTCTTCAACGCCCGGCTAACACATTCAATTGCTTTGGCCTATCTTTGGGCCTGCAGACCGGGGATGGTGCGCCACTTTTGAAGACGTCTGTTGGAAGTCTCTAGCTGCAAAGTTCCTGCTCGACACATCTACCCGTCTAACTAAAGCCCGACGTTCTCGAACCTGTCTTCTCACGGCTCCCTAGCTGCACAACGGGGTAAGCAGTCCGAACTTCTGCCGGTGCGTTCCCCAGGCTCAGCCATCCTGGTATGCAGTAGCATCCAACAGCTGTAAAGCTTGATGATCTAGATGACCTTTGCAGTGTATGTTAGGCTACGATGGTGCGCATGCTCTTCTTTTGTGCCGTTTAGGCAAAACCTCCCAAACGCTCGACTAAGAATGTCATGTGCTAAAGTTGGGACTGCTTTCCGCCCGTTCTGTTGATATAGTCGTTGTCCTCACTCTCCACAAATGGTGGTGGAGTTTGGCTGCAAAGCCTCTGTTGCATCGGGTCCAGAACCCTCACCAAAGGTAAAGCAAGGCTTTAATCCCGAACAGCTGAACCGGTTTGGTTTGGAGTGTTTTGGCTTAAGGTGATAGAAAACTCAAAACCAACCCTAAACCCGCTAATTCTCACTACGGATCCATGATCCCAGTGATGCGATTTGACGCTCTAGCGGCGTGGTGGTGAAAGTACGGATGCGTGACGCGATTTTTCAAGCGCCGCCTACGCCTGCTGCATGTGCCATCGAGATGATGGGATGTCAGCCCACTTCTATCGGGGGTGTCGTCGATTTTTTCAGAGAAGCTTCTGCGTGAATGCCTGAAATCCCCATGCTCATAGCTCAAATCCTCTGCGCTGAAGCCGCGGATCCCGAATATCCTTTCGTCGATGACATCCCTGGTTCACGACCGTGCTGAGGACAGAGAGGCCCGGCCTTGTCGACGTGGCTTTGCCAAATCAGCTTCTTCATAGAGATATTATAGTATTATAGTATATTTTTTATTTTAGTATATTATACTTTAATATACTATGTTGTTATAGTGTATATATATATATATATCATGCTAAATTATTATAGTATAGTGAAAGAGACTGTTTATCAAGGCCAGGGCCCCTGTATCCGGTGAGCCCAGCCCCTGGTCGCACCCCCAAAAGGTCCAAATTGCGCCGAACTTGGCAGCATCGTCAAAACGGCTCTTCGTCCCGGAGAGTCTGCCCAGTTGCAGTGCGCGGAAGGATGTCCATCTGATTTCATTTCCACATTACCAGTAGAACCCAGCCTCCAATGCACACCGTGCGGCTGGATGTATACGATACTTGGAAAGTTCCGTCGACATTTTCAGACAGCCGCTGCTCTTAGCCTTTTTTCGTGCCGGCCGCCTTCAATTCAAGGTGCCCGGTTTGACTGAAGGGTACTGCTCTGGGTTCTGAACTTGAAGCGTTCAGGCCGAATGACGACGCTGCTCTTCTTCGCGTTCGTGAATGCCTCATCTGCATTCGTGAAAGGCTTCAACTACAAAATGCAGGAGGCCGGGGTGCAGACGCGGCAGCTTATATCTGAACCTTCGATCGCCAGCTCCCAGGCGGTCGTCCAGCACAAGGCCCTGCAAAAGGAACTTCTGAAGAAAAAGACAGAGTTTCTGGACCATGTTCCGGCCTCGGTGACTGCATTTCGAACTTCGCATTTGTGCAACCGAGCAGCTAAGACCTGGCAATGCATGACATGCGGCTACGCAGAGGCCTCCTCCTCAGCAGTTACCGTCTGGACTTGCATTTCCTTTCTCCCGATGTGATTTTGGAAGAGAGCGTGTGTTGCCTTCGCAAGGGTGATGATTATCATTGCATCTGATACTTTTCCACTTGTGTTACCTGCTACCTTGTGTTGCGATTACAATTATAGTAGGTGCTGTTGCCAGTCGTTGCACCTGTTCGATGTTCGAGTTTGAACTAGACGAAGGCGAATGGCCACGTCGACCAAGACGAGATCCGGATATGATGCAGGCATGCCCTGTTCCAACTCAAGAAGCACGAAGCACCATTTAGAAGTAGTGCCTACTTAGTTGGTTTAGCTAGTAGCGTATGCCAGTAGTGTCTGGCAAGTTGCAACTACCAAATAGTCGTACGACTGGTAGCGGTGGTAGTCGTGGTGGCCTTCGTAGTAGTAGTAGTAGTAGTAGTAGTAGTAGTAGTAGTAGTATTAGTAGTAGCAGTAGCAGTAGTAGCAGTAGCAGTAGCAGTAGTAGTAGTAGTAGTAGTAGTAGTAGTACTACTACTACTACTACTACTACTACTACTACTAGGGGGGCGAACGCCGCCGGCGCCTGTGTGAATTTCGTAGATTTGGGCTTTCGTGGTCTATTCTACTTTCTGACGACATGAATAGCCCTAATGGAAGACCATACTATGTCTTAGGATTTTCGGCTTCGGGGTTTAAGGTTTTAGTTCTTCTTTCTGACGACAGGACTAGCACGAATGGGAAACCATACTATGTCCTGGGATTTTCGGTTGAAGGGTTCAGGGCTCTAGTTCTTCTTTCTGACGACAGGACTAGCAAGGGTTTTTGCTACACAGGCTTTGATTTTAGACCGTCTTTGGTTTCTGCTACACAGGCCTTGTTGTTACAAAGGGTTTCTGCTTCACAGGCTTCTCTGTTGCAAAGGGTTTCTGCTACACAAGCTTTGCTGCTACAAAGGCTATCTGCAACACAGGGTTTTCTGTTAAGCCGTGGTTCTCAGGAGGGCCTTGGGTGATAGGGCCTGATAGGGAGTTGTGATTTAAAATGGCTTGGCTTGGATTGGGGTGGGGGGGGAGTACTACCACTAGCCACCCCCCCGCCTACCAACTACACTTCGTCATTGTCATCAACATCATCACCACCAACATCACGAAAAAAACAAACACATTCCATTGCCAACATCACCAAAAAGCAAACACATTTCATCACCTTTCATCGCCAACACCAAAAGTACTGTAAATACCGAGTAAAAGCCGGGTTGTGTGCTCACGAAAAACCAAACACATTTCATCACTAACATCACCAAACAGCAAACACATGTCATCACCAACATCACGACAAATCAAACACATTTCACCACCTTTCATCACCAACATCACCAAAAGTACTGTAAATACCGAGTAAAAGCGGGGTCGTGTGCACACGTACTGTAAATGCCGAGGAAAACGGTTCGAGACACCAAAGTTTGGGACGCACAGTCCA